ACCAGGGCATCATTCCCCGAAAGCGCCTGCCCGGGCAGCGCTGGGGTGAGGCTGGCAGTGTGTAGGGGGCCGAGGTGCCTATTGGGGTTCGGGGGACTTGGACACACGAAAGCTTCCCCCCGGGCTGGGAGGCGGCAGGAGGCCATGCTCCCACCACCCAGGGCCGTGAGTGGGTGCAGGGGAGGAGGAAGAGGGTTATGCCTGGAGAAGATGAGGAAGGTGGTACTGGGGCCAATGGGAGAGGCTGGGGAGGTGAGGGTGGAGGGACATTGCTGGTGGTGACAGCAGGAGAGACCCTGGGCTGAGCCGGTGATTTGGGCAGCAGGCAGGAGAGCCCAGCTGGGCTGGGATGGTGAGGTGGGGGGCTACCCTGCACCTTCCTTCATCCTCCCCTTCCTTCATCCTTCCCTTCTAACCCATGTTTTCCCCACTCCATCACCACCTAGAGGAGCAGACTGAGGAGCGCTGGTGGCCCAGAAGCTGAATGGCAGGCTAGTCACCCATCTTCTCGCTGGGGGGGAGTAGAAGGGCCTCCTGCTCCTCTGCCTCTGCCCACCAGAACGAGACCAATGGCTGTAGCCCTGTGCACGTCCTCAGGGCAGCGCATTTCCCTGAGCAGAGGAAATTTCTGAAAGACTTTTGTAGGTCACTTCTAGTTTGCACCTTCTCCCATGGGAGAGAGAAGCTGGTGCTCTGCATCCCTTCCCATTTTAATTTGGGGTTTGGGTAGTTTTGGACCTGCTTGGTCAAAAGTGAAGAGGAAGCTCCAAATGGCATCAAGTAAACCTCTTGACACTTGAGCAATGGTGTTTTTGTCAGAAGTGTAGTACTGCAGAAAACAGCCAGAGCTGCTTCCTGCACTGCCAGTGTGTGCCTGCTCCATGCTTCTGTGTGGCTCAGCCCCACTCTGTCACCCTGGCATGCTCCACCAGTCTGTGCCCTGCTGGTGCTGCCCAAACCCTCTGGGCTGCCTCATGGCAGCATGCCAGCTGCTGCAGAAATTAAGGCCTGATACAGCAGCTTTCTGATTGACAAGGTAGCTGTTGGCAAGGCAAGGTGCACAGGACATCAGGGTTCCTGGTCAGGACTCAGAGTGCTACATGTGTGTCCTGACCAGCAGTGATAGCCCAGGGTGATCGAATCATTTTGGTTGGGAGAGACCTTTTATATCATTAAGTTCAACCGCTAACTCAGCACTGCCAGGTCACCACTAAACCATTT